TTTGTGTCTCTTTGTGGTGAATTTGTGTCTCTTTGTGGTGATTTTGTGTCTCTTTGTGTCTCTGTGGTGATTTTGTGTTGAACTTTTCTGTCTTTGTCGTCATTTTTGTGTCCCATTTTGGTCATTGTGTGTCTCTGAGGTCATTTTGCGTCTGTTTGCAGTTGTTTTGTGCTCATTTTTTGCTTTATTGCGTTTCCTTTGTGGTTGTTTTGTGTCATTCAGAGGTAATTTTTTGTCAGTTTGTGTTCATTTTGTGTTTATTTGTGGTTGGTTTGTGCCATTTTGAGGTCGTTTTGTGTCATTTTGTGCCTAAATTTGGTGATGTTGTGTTTCTTGGTTTTCATTTTCTGTAACTTTACATCATTTTCTTTGTTTTTTTTGTCTCTTTTTAGTCGTTTTGTATCTCTGTGTTGTAGTTTTGTGTCTCTGTGTTGTAGTTTTGTGTCTCTGTGTTGTAGTTTTGTGTCTCTGTGTTGTAGTTTTGTGTCTCTTTGTTGGTCTGTCGGTCCATCCAGTCTGCCTGCTTGCAGCTCCATGATGTTGTGAGTCTTTAAATAATTAACCAGATGAATCAGGTCCTGCTGTAGTGTTAGTGTTACTACACACAGCGCCAGTGTCAGTCCGTTAAGCACAGCGAGTGTTTCTTAGAAAGTGTTTTCTGCTCAAACAGCTGGACGTTTGTCAGGACTGTCGGACCTCCTCCTCCTCACCCAGCCTCCCTCCTCCTGCCTCCCTCCTCCTCCTCCTCCCTCCTCCTCCTCGGCTGCTCCAGTCGGGTCGAGCCGCCTCTCCGCCGCCCGGAGCTCATCTCCAAACCACCGAATCACATCTTTCATCGGGAGATCGACTCTCTAACACCGCAGATGTCAGCCTGAAGCCTCCTCTGCTCTCATTTTTTATTTTTTATTTTTATTTTTAAACTCTTCTCTAACTTTTCGGAGCCGGACAGATGTCGGACGGATTCTAATTTCTGGATTTCGGTGCGTAAAAGTTGTGCCAAGCGTGCCAGCGGACGAGCCGGACTGAGCGCGAGCGTTGTTCTGTTGGATTTACGGCCGGACGGAGGAGAAGAGCTCGAGGAAGGCTGGATCCGATGCGCCTCTGAGGAGCGGACGGAGGAGCGGAGCGCAGCCGGGTCCGAGCGACTCACCGGCGGCTGCACGTACATGTCTCCTCTCCCCACCGGCACCGAGGTACGGACGCGCTCTGCTCGCTTCTGCCGCTCACTGCTCGCTTTTTATCGCTTTTCCTGACGGCAGATGTCGAGACAGATGTTCCAGAGGGGGAACAGATGTCTCGGAGGTTCCTCCAAATCAAGACAAAATGCGCAAAAGTGGATGAAAAGTTGCGCAAAAACTCCAAAAGCAGAAATAAAATAGGGATCAGCTGATAAAAACATGTAGGATAATAAAAAAAAACATGCTTCCAGTTTGAAGTTTCTGACACTAAACCCTCTTTAGTCCATATTGATCATAAAAGCTTCTCTCATCAGTGGTTCTTCTTCATGGTGCTGCTTTAGTTTGGAGCTTCTCCTGGTTTAGAACTTCATCAGCAGCTCCTGGATGGTGCAGGAACAGACAGAAATGTGACACGTTACATATTTATTGATCTGTTCCTGCTCCCCAGAGGATGAGTGACCTCCTGACCGCCTGCTCATGGAGGTTCTTTGCCCTGCAGGGGGCAGCAGAAGCACTGTTCAGGCTGTAACACTGAGCTGGTTTTTACTGAATCACGGCTTTGTGGTAGTTTTGTGTCACTTTGTGTTAACTTTGCATCCAATTTTGGTAGTTTTGCATGTCTAAGTGGTTGTTTTGTGTCCATTTGTGGTAG